GCACGCACGGACATGGGACGCGTGCGCGCACGAGTCCACGCACACTCGCACGGAATCCATGATTCCATACATCCCTCAAATCCCGCAGACTGTGTATAACCCGTAATCCGCTGGTCTATTCTGGCCGATACCAGCCGTGTCGCGTCGCGCCGCCGCGACTTCGCGTATCACCACCCGATGACGTACTATGTATAGATGATAGATACGCGTGCGATCCGCGTTTCGCAACGTGGATACACTGTTCCGTCCGCTCGATCTCCGCCCTGTCTGGTCCATTTCTTCCGAACTCCACGTGAGAAACGTGCCCTCCACGTTCTTCCCTGCGTCGGAAGCTGGAGGACGCACGGTCGATCGCTGATGCGACTTTGACGTCTCGTGAAACACGAGAATTTCTTCTACCGACTATACTTCGCTTTGACGCAAAGAACTAAAAAGGAAGACCTTCGCTGATCCTCGTCTCCGGTTAGGTTTACCCGCACCGATACCCCGATCGAATAGAGTATAGAGTATAGAGGAACCGTGATTCGATGTCCTCCGAGACTGCCGCGCGTCTCTTTATCCCCGTTGATCTTGTAGAAGGAAATTGAAATATCCGAAAGCTTGAGATTCGTTCCACGGATACTACCATCGCGACCGGGATTGCGAGCTACTGATTGGGTCTCAAGCGGGGACTCTTTTTCTCTTTTACGGCTGCTTTCGGGTTGCAAAGAATTAAAACGATCTCTGACGGCGAACGAGTAACATTGGATTTTAAGCGGATACACGGTTTTCGAGGAACGTGTAACTCCGGCGACGCTTATCCTCGAGCGGCATCTCCCTTTTGGTTTTGGTTGATTTTTGGTGGTGCGCGCGGTATTAAAACGCGTCGATATCGACCGGGAACGCGAAAGAGCGAACGGGACAGACCCGTTCGAGGCGAAGAAGGAGGCCAGAACGTGTAAACGCGAACAGGCTGGGAATGGAAACAACATGGCCGCGGGTGGATCTCCATAACGAGCCCGGTGACTTGCACATTCGACCCAGAACGCATTAGCCGTATTTGCATTTAATTGCCGGTTGTTTGTTTGACGTCCGCGCGACCGACGGAATTAGGAGCGGCGACCAAGCAACCGTAGGCCGCATCCTGCGAGCTCTGTGATCCACGAACCAAACCCGAGCAATTTTTCCTCCTCCCCGCTTCTTCCTCCGTCGATTAGACGGTCCAAGACGTCGAGGTTCCCTTTCGTTCGGTATTCCGTACCGTTCGAGCGATCGTTCGCCAGTGGTAAAAACTGATTTCCGACCCCGCGAACGAACGAGCCACGTTCCGATTCCCGCTGCATCACTCGATTCGTCCGCGTTTTAAATGGACAGCGTCCAAAGTGTATAAACCAGGCTCGATCTCGATCGATCCGAGATCCATCTCCTCTCTTCGGAGCTTTTTGCGACCGGTTCGCTGGACGCGCGCGCAGAAGACGGAACGTCGGAACCGATGCCGCCGCTAAAAGGTTAATACACTTCTCGCGTTGCCACGGCTTCTCCTTTCGGGTATCCGCTATCCACGCATCTCGAGTCAGAGGCCAAACATCGACGACGATCAACGTCCGTTCGTCCGTTCGTCCGTCGAGAAAAACTTCTCCTGGTTCCGCTTCCCCGTCCGGGTTCCCCAGGTCTCGGACTCCCCGAGGCACCTCCGAGGTATCGCTTATCATTACGAAGTTGCACGTACATTTCGTCGGACGTCTAACGGTGGATCGGTTATACGGAATCCTAACCGAATCTCTTCTCTCGGAGGAGATCTCTTCCCGCTGCTCCCTCGCGTTCTTGCTCCGTCTATTCATTCGTTCTATTCGTTTCCCGTCTCTCTCCGTCTCGCTCCGTCTTCGTTTCTCGGGTCTTTGATTCCGTTCCTCTCCGGTCGGTCGCCCCATCGTCGTCCTCCGGCCCCGCCTGCCCCTTCGGGCAACCAATCCCGAGTAAAGTTTGTTACACAACTCGGCGAACTTTCGAAAATGGTCTGCCTCCGCCAAGTAAGCTGTTCTTGGTTCCCTCGTTAGATAGACTTTCCTCTTTGCCACAAGACTCGCCAGTTACCTCGCCGACGGACAACATACTTGCATATACATATACATGTACGTACGGAGCTACCGTTAGCTCCGATTTCCCTGCCGTTTCTTCGAGGCGACGAACGATACCCACCTTCCGAGCGACGAAAAATCAATGAATCGTCGAAACTTTTCTAGTAAACCGACAGGCAGGCAGTACCGAAGGAACGGAAATGATCGCGCACGCTCGCTACGCTCGGAGGTACGAGTACACGGCCGGCATTTTATTGCCGCGTTAATTGCAGATTAGGTAATTGACGTAGGATGTTGCTACGATTTGCGAGCAACATACTTTCCACTCACGGTGGATGCGAAAACGGTTTTTTGCGTTCTAATAAAGAGCAACAGCCGACCTCGTTGCGTACAAAGAAATCCCGGTTCGACCGGCTCGTCAAGATAATCGCGACCGTTTGCCATTAGCTATGTTCCTCCAACGATGCGTCCATTAACGCGAGTATCAGATAGATATGTTAAGTCGGTTTAGCGCTCGGTGCATTATGGAAATTGCGCTTCGACGCGCGTTACTTTCTAATTTCGTAAATTGTACCGGTAATTTTCATCGCCGATGTACGGCGTCGCCTGAGGATGAACGCGGCGTCTTCGCACGATTAAGAGATTTAGCGGATGAAACGGTGTTGCCCGGGTTTTGCGCTCGCGTTCGAACACGGTTTCCGACGCGCGTACTCCGTTCGCCATCTGCTGGACAGCGCGAATTTCGATCGATAGAGGATCCAGAATAAACATTTTTAATCATCGCCGAACGCGGGGATCTGATTTTTAGGAATACTGTAATTCTATTTATTTTTGGGGTAGATCGAAAATGTGTAAATGAAACTGATATGTAATTATGTTACCGTACAATGATAATACGTCGTTGGATCATCGACAAAAGAGCTTTATCCCTAAGCAAAGGTTTCTGTATTTCCGAGCGAAATCGTTGACGTGATTTTTACAGGAACCGGGATAAAATTTGAAGTATTCAAGATAGAAGAAAACTGTATACGACCTTTTTTTGTAGGTAATAGCAGTACCTACAACTTTTATTCAAACTATTCTTCAAAATTCTGAGAAATTCTTTTTTTTTATTTCTCCGAGATTTTTCCAAGGGCTACCCTTCAGATTTTGCGAAATTTTCGTTTTTTGCCAATAACTGCTTACCTGCTGCCGTTAGCGCAAAATGTTTGCAACGAATGTTGTAGCTACCATCAAAAGCTACAACTTTTGTGTGAAAAATTTTTTTATGTCGTCAATAGTTAACGGGTAATTTGCAATAAACTGTTTTTTCGTTTTTTTTCAAATACTCGTAAACTATAGACGCTTGCGAAAATCTTTTCAGATAAAAGTTGTAGCTCTAGTCGCCATATACAAGGAAGTTCCTATGCAATGTCCTTCTAATTTAAGGAATAATGAACAAAATAATTAATCGATTAGTCCTGAAGTATTCGAGAGTGGTTCAGGATTGCTTCCAACGTTACCGATGGCAGCTTGCAACGCTGTTCACTGTTGGGATTGCAGTACAGAGTACGGGAAAATCAATTTTTGCGCACACTCCTTTTTCTCTCTCCTCGTAGTTTTAATTTAGATCTATTACATATATTTGTTGTAAACTTAATCATATACTTATCCGACATATCGTAGACGTTCCGCCCTTAGTTTCGTACAATTCCCAGTTGTTACGATATCTTGTCCTTCTTTTCTGGGTCGAGGTAGTTCGAAAATCGACGACGGATTATCGCGGGCGGGGTGTAATTAAAGCGATGCCGTGATAAAATCGTAGGACGTACGCGAACGGGATTTGCCTTTACGAATTTACGATATCCGCTTACGGCATGGCGCGGCATCCGGGCTGATAAAAGTGTTAGAGGCGCGCGAATTATCGTTCGCCGAATTTATCGGCTATCCGGTTATCTCGAATCAACGTATCGACAAAACGGTATATCACGATCTGGCCCTCGATGCGAATTCGAAATCCTCCCCCCGATCTTTTGGATACCGTCTAGCCGAATAATTTGAGTTCTCAAATGCTTTGCCAAGATCTCTCTTCGTTGATCCACGTACTCTTCGATTCCCGATCGAAAGGTTCGACCGTTCCGTACATATTCTAAAGAACCTACCGAATCGCCATGGTTCGTCGCAGGGACACAGTAGCAGCGTTTCGATGATTAATGCGCGCAGAAATTTCGAGGCAAGCCGGTAGACGGTGAATCACGAAGGTGCGCATGGCTCAATAAATCACGGCTTTTGCCCCGCGCTATAATCCACAATTTTTCACCCGTTTTCACCAGCTTCTTCGATGCATCGCGAGAACGCAAAGAAGCATCGGACGTTCAAGCCACGTCGTCATCGCGTCGGGACTCAATAAATCACGATCCTTATCACGTTCCAATTTCATTGACGCGCGATCACACGCGTTCGGGAGACGACACCCCTCTCTCTCTCTCTCTCTCTCTTTCTCTCTCTCTCTCTCTCTCTCGCTTTCTTCCTCTTTGTGAGAACCGTGGAAATTAATTCGATAACCAGAAATCGATGTCCGCGTTGTCGCGCGACGATGAGGCGAATCGCGTATGTCATTTTTGAGACAGCTTCGAGTTCGTCTATCAAAACTAGCGATGTCCTGTTAAAATCAACATCTGTAGTTACGCGAAACCACTTTCGGTACGTATCGGTGTGTATTCCGTTTTAACGTCCATTCTTTAACGTTTCATTAGGCGTAATGGTTCGCGTTCCGTACCACCGGCGAATATACTTCTTCCCGTCGGTTTGCACTCGGTATAATTAGCGCACTTACCTTGAACGACGATCGGGCGCGCGAGACGGGACGCGCGTTCCGTGAAAAGACGACGGTCGGAGGATCGCTAAATAATGATATTTCAGTGGGAACACGAACTCGGAAATATATTTAAATGCCTGAGCATGTGTATATATATATAGATATAGATATATGTATATGTATATGTATATATGTATATATTTATAATCGCGTTCATCATAAAAGTACAATAATAGCTTTATATCAAATCACGAGGAGAAATTCAATATTCGCACGGTAGGCGCGGCAAGTGTCTTTTAAAGTTTTTTTTACCAATTTTTACCAAGGACTATCTTTCGCGTATTGCATTTTCTCTCTCACTCACTCACTCACGCACACAGACACACTCACGCGTATCATTACTCTTTCGTATTTCTCTTTCGTTTTAATCCAAAAAAAAGCTTCTCGCGTAATACGTCAACAAGTGGTCTCTTCTTTTTTTTATCGTTCTTCCTACCTCGCATTCTCTCCCGTTTTTATTTATTTTCTGCGATAACGACTCTAAACGAACAAAGTGAGATTCAACGCGGAAAAAGTATACAGCAGAATACCATATAAACAAAAAAATACATAGACAATGCAGCAATAACAACAGTTAAAAAAGAAAACGCAATCGGGTTGTTTCGTTCTCGACGGAATGACTGATGCACGCGTGCCGGACCGTTGCCTAGGATATCGACGGAAACGATTTGCACGCTGCGAGTATCGAGCCAAAACGAAGTTACGTGGAAAAGTTTTCTCAGAGAAACCAACTCGTCCATTCTCGTTGCATTCCTTCTCCGATTTTCTCATCGACTCGCGTCGTCTCCTCCGTTTGGTCTGTTACTTGACTGGTCCGTGTAATCGGAACCAACGCTGAGCGACCGTCGAACGCGAGGACCATTCGAATCGTCAGGGTATCGTCGAACAGAAAATAAAAAATGTGACAATTAAACTAGCGAGATACATAGTTAAAATACGGTATTTGTTCACTCTCGGCCGCCGCGCTTCCGCCTATCCAGAGATCGTGACACGCCGGGTGTAACGTAGACAGAAGGCAATAAAAAGAGGACAGATGCCAACATCTTCTCGATGTCCGCCGCGTCATATACATACTTCTCGTGTCGCTCGCCCGCGAACTGTGGTACATCTGTGGTCTTAAAAAGTTAATCGCCCGTTTTCGGACACTGGTACTTGTGCACTCGACAGAATCAGCGACGCGCCTAACCGTTTAAAAAATGATACACCTAGACACCTCGTTCACCGACATTCACACGACGTTAATCGCACTATCAATTTTATAGTGAACAACGAATCACGCTCTTTACTTTCGTATAGCGTGCTAAAAAAACAAGAAACTGCGTGTCTCTTGCTATCACGTTTGTTCCGAACGAGTTCGCTCTTCGGCTGTTCTTCGTTTCTCTTCACCCTTCTTTTATCGAGTCTTGCTCGTCTGCTCATTCGTCGCTCAATGCGCGTATTCCATTATGTTATTTTCTTCATTATACTCATTTTTTTAAATACTTTTTGTTCCTTGTTTATTTGTTCGATTTGTTCTACGTCTCGGACCACTTTCGACGATCTAGAAGCGGTACTGTTCTCTTAATCCCGATCGTCTCTGGCAACCGCTACGCGAACATACGCGATTGATTTATTCGTGGTCTCCGGACTTAACCGGAACTTCATCGGAAAGACACTTCGCACGACAGGTCTCCGATGGCAGCTGATCGATTCGGCGAAAGGTTTAGGTCATCAGCTCCGTGTTATCGTCGGCGTAACTGTCCTCCGAAGGTTCCACTCTGACGGCGAGTTGTGTGTAACCCTTGTTCGTTTCTCTTCTTCCCGACATTGCCTGAAAACGCGAGCAGAAATGTATCATTGATGAATGATGCTCGGATTGGACTTGTTTGACCGATGGACGATCACGTACCTGAAGCGCGATGAATATCGTAGCGAAGAGGGCAACCGATACTAGACAAATAGCAACGGCGATGGTCGTGGTCGCTGTTATCGCCAGCGAAGCCGTGTCGCTCTTATCGGTCGTCCCTTCGTAGTTCGCATATACCTCGGAGATGGCCGTGTCGGCCGAGACGAACTCCGTTCCCGGTACTCTTCTTTTACCAGCCGGAGAACTGTTTCTACATCCGCCTGTTGACGAAACAAAGTCTTGATAAGTTAGCGTTTCTACGTTTCGGCTCGTCGCTAATTTTATTACGTGATCGTACTTACCGGTTTCCGGATCACAGAGACAACATTCATCAGTTTGCGATCCTTTTTCGTTTCCGGCGCAGCAGGGTACGCACTGATTATTCAATTTGTCGAGGTGTAATGGCGGCGAGCAGGCGGCGCAGCTGAATTTGCCGGGGCCGGTGCACCTTCGGCACTCCGAATTGCAATTCTTGCAAAGTTGAGTCAAAGGGTCGTAATACTGCGCTCCGAGGCACTCCATGCACAGGCCACCGTCCAGCATCGAATGCGACGGACAAGAAGTACACTCGTTCGGTCCCTCTCCTGCAACACGATTCGTTATACTTACAAGTAAAATACAGAGAACGCTGTCCGTACGTTCTCGTCTCAAAGTCTCCGTACAAACGACGATCGTTACGAAAATTGAGGAACATCCTTTTGCGTTGATTCGCGAAGTATCATCGTCGACGTTTGCATAGAACGGGTACCGGAATTTTGAATTGGCACGGGGAACATTTCACGGGTCCACAGAGACAACGATCTCAGAGAATGTAATATAGGACGACTTTTCGAGTCGAACGTACGTGCATTTCTCTTCTGCGCCTCGGCTTTCGATGTAGATACACATACCTTTGCACGTGCGACAGTAGTGGTGACACTTCTGGCAACCGAAGTTGGATTTGAAGAATCCTTCGGGGCACTCCGGGTGACACTCTCCCGCTGCCAGTTGCCAACCACGAGGACAAGTTACGCATTGATCCCGCCTCGGGCCGGAACACGTCTTACACGACAAGTAGCATTTCGCGCACTGCCCTCGATCGCTGTAATATCTGCGTTGAAACACGTTCTTTTTTCACGCATCTGCCCGTTATCGAGCCCCGATCTTATCGAGCCACAAAGCTTCGTATAACTCGCTTCGTAAAAACGATACGATGAAAAGGGGCGAACGACTAATATTCTATTACTACTGGTACTAAAAAACTGAAAGGGGGAACGTTCGAAGAGACAAAAAGATCAAAGAGATACTTACCCCTGCGCGCAAGAGGACCTACACTCGCCGCTTTGCAGTTGCAATCCGTCTTGACACGCGGTGCAATTCAGCCGGGACACGCACGTCTTGCAAGTATGCAAACAAGGGACGCAGACGGGTCTGGAGGAGGGCTGCGCCATAGAGTAATAACCATCGTCGCACTGGTAGACACATCGTTTCCCTTGAAGGAGCAATGAGGTTCTGCAGGAGATGCAATGGTCGTCTTCGGGGCCGGCGCACGTCTTGCAGGAAGCGTGACACGGTTTGCAGTGATCGTCCTCGAAGTATTCGGACGTATGGCAGCGATCGCGGTGCTCAGGGGCGCACAACCCCTCCTCGGTCAGACTCCAACCCTCGTCGCAACTCATGCAAGTCGACATGGTGCAAGTGGCACATCCGGGTGGACAGGGCACGCACTCCTTTCGCTTCTTATCCGCGCTATATCCCACCGGGCAAGACGCTCGACAAGATCCTGGAAATCCGTATGACCATAGCTCTAGCGAGACAGCACGCTAAGTTCGACAGGATAAAAACGAAGCGCGAGAGTGGGAAGTATGAGCCGAGAGCCAAAGACATAAAGTAAAATCGTAGGATTGTCGCGTCGCTATGAGTACGTACCGTTCAGAGAAAACAATCCGGGCCGACAGGAGATGCATTGGTCCTCGGCAGTGCCGTTGCAGGTCTCGCAGGTCGAGTGACATGACGCGCAGTTGTAATCTTGGGTCTCGTAGGTGTACAGGGGACACGCGGCATAACACTTGTTCTCGTACATGACCAAGTGGTGCTCGCAGCTCGTGCATTTGTCCGGCCTGTCCTGGCAGCTAGCGCAGTTCGCCTCGCACGGCACGCAAGTGCTGTTTTCCGTGTCTGAAAATGTATGCGACCGGATATCATTCATCCGGTTGGACCGTAGCATAGGTCGTTCGAATCGCGAACGTCGCGACGGTGAGCGAAGGAACGGGCGCGATCGTTAATTCAGGATGCGATAAATCGTAGCTGGTTGGACCGAAGAACCTCGGTTCTAAATAATATATTCGTTGCGCTTACTTTCGTAATATCCCTCCGGACATTGCTGCAGACACACCGCTAAATCGGTGACTCGGAGGTGAGCAGGTGCGCAGGACAGGCAAGAATCCTGGCCGGCTCCCGCACAGATTTCGCAGGATTCGTGGCAAGGCCAACAAACGCCACCTTGATTCGGAAAGCTCCTCGGTGGACATCGACTCACGCAGGTGCTGCAATTGCAATTTTTAAAGAAACTCGTCTCATTTCGTTTCGTTACCCAACGACACCCTTCCACCGTGTTAGATTCTTCTGATCCATCCAAGAGTTAGTCACACTCCCGTCGTATCGGGTCCTTCGGCCACGCCTAAACACGCTGCCAGGCTGCGAGGCTAAATTTATCGAGATAGCGAAAAACGGCGAAGGAAACGATTAATATACGCATCTTCTCTCCCTTGAACCACCACGTTCGGTTGGAACGCATGAGATTTATTAGGAAACGTGTCGAATTCTGTCTGGCATTCGGTTTCCGTGAATCAAAAATACCGTTGTATTTTTATATAAAAAGTATCTCTCGTTGTAAATGTTTGCGAGACACGATGGATGTGCGCGACGCATCGCGAAATGTATCGCGGAACAAAATAAATTGTAACCGTGAGGTGGCCGGGATGAGTTTGTCAAAAGTTTCTTCTCTGTAACTTTCGTTTAATTCAGCTAGGAAAAACTGATCGATGGTGGTGTAGCTACAGTAGAATAAAACGGAGCATGCGAGGAACTCGTGCAAGGAATAATACAAACGCGAATTAACATCCCTCCGGCAGCGTAATTTGCGCAAGGGGTCGAAACATAATTTAAACGATCTTTCCCGTACACGGTACCACGTCGCGAAATGTAAAAACTTCAACCTAATTCAGAAGGATTTCAGATTTTTCATCTACGGTTTTTTCTCTGGAAAAGGGCGAAGGATACTTTTGCTTTTAATTAATGCAGCGAGATCCTTTGTACAAGATTTTTTACCACAGGGGATAGGCATGCGTTACGGTTATTCTTGAAGCAGAAAAACCGCGAGCTTTATGGCCGAGAAATACGCGGTCTGGTTTAACGAAGTTGTTCACCGACTCGATTAATATTCGCGGATGTACGCGGTTAAAGCAGCGACAAAATTAAGAGTGATCTCCTTACTTGTCGAGTCGATAGCTCTTGCAAGCGATGCATTGGGTGGGACCTTTGCCGTAGCAGCCTTGGGAATCGCATTGCGGGTCGCAGTCGTGAAGAATCTTTCTAGTCGTATCGAGCGAGTCGTCACCGACTCGGGACGAGGACGAGGGCGAATCGAAGGAGGACGAGGATGCGTCCCCCGGCAGCCGATTCGTCAGGATCGGAGCGGAGGATCCGTCCAACGTCGCCACGGACGCCTGAACGTTGGACGCGGCGCCGACGTACGGACCCTGGTAGCTCTGAAAGGGAGAAGCAAAGAAGTCGGCTTCGCCGCGATAGCCCAACGCTCGAAGCGTATCATCATCTACGGGCAACGGATAATGGACGGAGGCGTACGAAGAATGCGCTTGTACCGGGGAAAATTGTTGCGGCCGGATCCTGATGGGGTTCGTCGCCGTCCCGTAGAAGATCAGCTGCCATTTCTTCAAGATACCTGTAACGCGCATCGACGGTTCTCGGTGAAACACGGATGAGATCCATTCGGTCGGTTGTTCGGCTTCGAAACGGCGCGATCACTCACCTGGATTGTTCACGTGTCGATTTCCCGCGTTAATGATTTGCAGCGTCCATCTACCGTCCGCTTTCTCGCCCCAGAAGTGCACGCTCAGGAAAGGCCAGTCGTCGAAGCTGGAACTGAGAACGTCCCGCGGCCTCTCGAACAGCAACGTCGACGTAGTGCCCATCGGTGACGTCAGGAGCAATCGTAAATTTCCACGCGGGAAGAACCTCAAGGACACCTTTTAAATCGGTCGACATCGAAACTTTGAAATCCATATGAATTACTCGTTTCAACGATAAATTTGCAAGAAGGCACCGAATGAAAAAAGAAGTGGTCGTAAAAAAATGATAAGCATCGTACAAAGGGACGAACGGAAGGAAGAGAGTACACGTACCGCCGGAGTGAAAAGAGACCGCTTACGATAAAATTTATTTTCACTGTACCCGGGCTACACGTGAAAGTAGGTATATTTAGTTCTGGTTTATGATTCATAAAATGGATTTGAAAAATTTACATTTTAATGGTAGCGCGAATTTATTCTCACGACGGGCGGAACCAGTAAATGCTCGTTCGCGTAATGTACGAATTTAAAGGATCGTCTAGTTAAAAATGAATTCGTAGAGTCGGGGGAAAGGTATCAAAGTTCCGACGCGTATGAAACCTCGCGGTATACGCGCATATCTTATTCGATGAAAGATCGCGCGGTATAGCAGTGCTATACGTCACGTCGGTGGCAGGTTCATGAAGGACTACCGCGGCAGCCCTTTCGGGCAGGTTCTCCTCTTACCTTGCACTGCACGTGCTCGAGGAAGCGGACCTCGTTCAAAGATCCGGAGCAACCGGTGACGTCCATGTACACGCTGAGCGTGTAGCCGTAGGTCGGATCGATACGCCTCTCCTCGTTGATCTCATCGGACTTGCAGATATGTTGAGGCGGCACGTTGGTCCATTGCTCGGCCAGGTTCACCATGGCACCGGCGTCCATAAGCCCGTAACCGAATTTGTGCGAGACCTTCCTCTTCACTCCGTTCAGAATCCAACCCGGCTCCTTCTCGAGGGGACCCGACCTCGAGGTGAGTACCACCAGGTACTGCATGTCCCTCCAGGTGAGGCTCGGGTTCGCTTCGAGCGCCAGAGCCGCTATCCCGGCCGCCAGAGGTGCCGAGGCCGAAGTTCCCGTGTGCTCGACGGTGCAAATATGATCCGGTCTCAGTTTCGCGTCCATGTCCACGGTCGCCACGCTCTTGTCGTTCCCCGGAGTACCCGACGAGTAAGTTGATGCCAACGTCGAGCTGCATTCCTCTAGGTACCAGGGTTTGTATCCGCCCTGAGTCGCGCTCGATATCGACAGGGTAAAGATGCTGTTCGTGTAACCGTCGCAGTTGCAGGAATCTGTATGACGGCCCCCGTTCCCGGACGCCCACACGAAGATCGAGCCTTTTCCCTTGCGGCCCTGTTTCGTTCGTTACGATATTCTATAGTCATCCGTACCTAAGTTTACCATAGCCTATGCAGGAATCTTTGAAATCTCCGCAAATTCTTTCTTTGAACGATTCAAAGCGAAATCTATCTTTTTAAAACGAAAGAAAAATAAGTAGCGCAGCAAGAGGACTTACGCTGGTTACGCCATAGATGAAAGCCCTCCTAGCGAGAGGGCCGGGTCCGTCGACGGTTTTCCCGTCGTCCTCCGGACCCCAGGACGCGCTGTATATATCGATGTGATCAGGATTCAATCCCAACGCTCTGGCTTCGACGGCATCGTTTACCGGGCCATCGAGCATTCGCACGCCTGAGAACACGGGCGGTATGTGCGTTACGGATAGCTTTCCTTCTCGTTGCTCGCGCCCTCAAATTCCACAGGGCAAGTTCTATGGAATTCAAGCTTCAGCCACCGCGATACGAAACGAGCTAATTCGCAAAAAATCGTGATTCCGCGGAATTTTAATCACGCTTTTTCTTCCGCTGCTGCCCTCGTATCTTTTCTCTCTCTTTCTCTTTATTTCCCATCGTTCCTTCGCGGTACGCAGCTTCTCCTTGTCCGACGATTGAATTCCACAGAGATAGGAAAATGTGTCCGCGTCGTTTGCAAGCTATTCCGGACGCGCTAAATCGAACGCGGACTGTTGATACGCGTCCTAATGGGAACGAGCATGGGATAATGCTATCGGAACTTGATATTACCACAAAGCGAGAAACGACTTACGAGCACGGGTATCGATATGCACTCCGATAATGGTTACGGCGGCAACGGATCGTGGAAAGAGAAACGCCGCGAACGATAGACGATTGCTCGGACGCCGTTAAGTAACGCGAATGAAATCGCGATCCGCGAATCGAATTAAATGGATTCTGTGGAAGAGAGTGCGACAACTTTGAAACGAGATTTCGCGGAGTTCATTCCGCGGTACGGATATCCGTACCATTTTCCTCCGCATACTTCGTTAACGATCATTTCTTTTTTTGTCGATCGACCCGCGAGAATTGTGCTTTACGCGATGTTTCCAGCGAACCGCTCTACGCTCTTTAAAACCCCTGGATTCCTGTATCACGAGTAAATCAAAAGACCGAACTCGTAAACACGACGGTCTTCGAGAAACGATCTCTTCCTCGACCGAGACTCGGGGCAAACACCTCCGAAGAGAGAAAGAGTACTGGGCCATAATTTCTAAGATGTCGCCGTTAATAAAGTGGACCGTGTATCCGAACGAGATTTAATTCGCCGCGGTTGTCTCCCCGTTTCGGGCGATAGTTATTTATTGGTTTGCTCCTAGCGCTCCCGCAAACGCGTTTCCATCTCGCCCGTCAGCGGACGAAGAATTCGCGTGAGTACACGTAAACGTACCTCCGATGCTGGCGTTGTACGCAACGCCGACGCCGCAATATTGGTTGAAGGCGACCGCGGCCACCTCACCGGCGCATCGGGTTCCGTGCTTGTTGTCGCCGTTGTCCCTCGGCATCGGATCGTTGTCGTTGTCGTTTATGTCCGTGCTGGCCTGGTGATCGTAGTTCAGAGCCAGGTCCGGATGATTCGTCTGTATACCGTCGTCGAGGATCGACACCACGACTCCTTTTCCGGTGTAACCCTTTTGCCACGCTGGGCCGAGGTTCATGTCGTATCCGTCCTTGGCTCCGCCGTTCTGCGAGCAGATTTTCACCGTTGAATTTGACACGGTGTACGCGCGGAGAGAATTTTTCGTGAAGGGAAAGAAAAAACTATGAAAAATGACAGGGCTGGGGAAAAAATAAACTGGAGACCGCTGGACGTAACTGAAAATTAAACGGAGGTAATTTTTTCTCTCGGCGAACGAAGTGTAAATGTTTTAACTTCGAATCCCGTCGATTCGAGCACGGGACTAAAACGAGAAAAATGGAAAATACGATACGGATTGTTCGCGAGAAAATGAGCAAAAGACTGGTTATTAACCGGTTAAACAGAATATAATTGAATGAGGCGAGCCACGCGAGTGGAACGAACGAAACAGAGCAGCCGCGGAGAGGCAGGTACAGTGTATAGGGAATATTTAACGAGGGAGACCGCGGCAAAACTACGAACCGAGGATTAACTCGGTCGAAATAAAAAGAGAAAAGCCGATATCGAGAGCCGAGAGAAAGGAAATTAGATAAAACGGTTTCTCTCGTTTTATTCGTTTTCCACGCGTAGCTACGTAACGACCTCTCGCCGGTGGAGAACGGTGTCAGCGTCTTCGTTCTCGCGATCGCCTCGGATCTCCACCATCGTTACTAATAAGTAGGTACAATTCGACCACCGATAGCCCCGGCGTTAATCATAGCTCGACCAGGCTCCAAACCACGCGCACGCAGAATTTAAATCGGAATAATCTGTGCACCGATGTACCTATTCCCTGGCACGGCGAAAGAACGATTCATCTACGCGTAGTCGATATAGAGCATTGTACGTAGAATATACGTATAGAGGAAGAGAGATTCGAACACGGGCATGGGTCGTGGTTTCTCATACGCTGCCGGTGCTCGTAACTCTCCGCGTGTCCCGCGTCGCCCGGACCGATCGTTTTCGGTATAGTTAGCGGCGATCGCTGCTTCTGTCGTTTCTGAAATTAACGTTGGGAATACGATATACCTGCGGATATAGATATTGCCGCGCCATTAGCGATCCGATGCTTTTTATCGGCGCGAGCCGAGCTCCGAGGAATCTGTTAAAATCGTGGGGCCGATTCACGGCATCGCGTGATCGCGCAATTCGGTCGACGACGACGTTGCGATGTCGAACGCGTTATCGAACCGCGTCAGCGACGAGGTCGTAGTCGTAGGTATCTCTACTCGTAGGTCTCGTCACGTAGGTTCGTTTCTGGTCGAGGGAAGTAAAATCGAAGGATCCACTTACCAGATACCACTGTTCCTTAAAGAGGGGATCCGTGAACAGATTCTGAAGAGGCACGCCTCTGTTCCTTTGCCGATGGAACGTGGCCTGCCTCGGACGCGGACCGAACTCATCGAAAAACGCTGGATAATCGCTGAAAGAGAACGACGACGCGGGCACGAAGTCCCTCTTCTTACGTTTCTTCTCGTGCTGCTGTTGGAACCATTGTACCTGAAATAAAATCAGTCGGACGTTTCCCTTTGAACGATCGTTCGTCGACTCGCACGGATTTAGGGGCGGAATCGGATTCGAGAGGGAACGGGCTACGGGCTCGACGTTAAACATTGACGAACGGCTATGAAATTGAAATTATTTAGCTTATTGCGGTTAGCGCTTTCGCGGTTCCGGAGTTTGACGCGATTCCGCGTGCGTACGTCCCGAGCCACAGTATCGGAGATATGAACTCGGCGAAGTGATCGCGTCCGCACATATTTGAGCGACTCGATGTATGGTTTTAGAACGGCTTAAAATTTAAAACGACTCGTCAGATTACTAGAAGAGGTTCCGACGAAGATATACGGGATACAAACATTATTGGATACGTATTGATCGAACGGTTGAACGCGGCTGCGTCGATGTTACGCTTCCGCGTTGCGCGAGTATCGGCTATTAAAAATTTCGCGCATTTGCGGTTCGTATATTTAAACGGGGTAGCGGGCGGACGCGGGGTAAAAATACGGAGTTCGTCCGTATGGCGCCTTGTAAGCGGGGAGCATCGACGAGAACCGCTTTCGCGGTCGAGGTTCGGTCTTCGGAGCGTGAAACGCGCGACGCCCCGGTCATCGTTTCATTCGTATCGTCGGTGAATCCGAGCCGCGGACCCGCGGAAATTGACGGCCTTTGCAATTTTGGACACTGGCCAAAAAACTCTCTGCCCTCTCTTCTCGTTGCCGTTACGCTTCGATAAGTGTCACGGTCGTACCCCGTCCACACGCGCCCGAAAAAAGACCAATATGTATCCAGGTAATTGTTTTAACCATTTCGCAAAAGCTTTTCCCTCTCCGCGTCCCGCGGTTCCCCGCGACTCTGCTCCGAGTCTTTCGAGGATCGCTTCAACGTTAACGGAACGATTCGTTCGGACGCATCGATCGGGCTGGGAGGGCCATTTTACCCGCACTTCGGAACAATCGTTTCGTCGTAAATAAGCGCACAACGTATCGGGGTGTATCCAGGGTCAGACTTCGATATTTGTCGACCGAATCTCTCCAACGCCGGTTCATCTCGCGTCGCAAACCGTTCCGTCGGCGCGCTGCCGGAAAAAAGACAATGGCCCGGCTGTTGGAAAGATGGTGCAAGCACAATATTATCTCTGGAAACACGCCGTTGTTCCACCGTTGTTCTCTCGTTCGTTGAAAGAGCGGTAAGGAGGAGCGGGGAGAAAAAAGAGAGAACCACCCGGTCGATGGCGCGCGGCGGCTCGCGAGATGGTCATCATCGGCCACTTTCGTCTTAATGCTTCTCTTCGGCTTTAAAACTGTCGCCCCTCTTCCGCGAACGGAGGAGTCGCGAGAGCCACGGTTGAACAGCATCAAACCGATTGAACGATCCGGGCAGACTTTAATTAAAAATCCTTGTAATTAGCTTTCGTTGAGACAGTCTCCTAGCAAAGTATCGCCCCGCTCTTTCTTTCCGTTCGGTTCGCAACGAAAACGTACTTAATTGATTTTTCCGTTTCATGATACCACGTAGTCGGTACGAATCGATGAGTATTTTCTAGATAGCCTCGATAAAAGCGATTCAACGAGTGTTACACGAGCTCCAACTTTTTCATCCTCGTACAACGGGAACAACGTATTTCGATAAGAGTGAAAAAATATTTATCGACGAGCGCGGACAATTGTATAACAATATGATTCCCGGTATTTTTCTAAAGACGGACACAGGCGTGTGCTCGAAGAGACGTTGGCCAACTATGAACTGATCGAATCTATTCGCGTCGCTCGTCCAGCGTATAAAAATACCCTGATAATTAAAACACTTGCCGCGACGCAAACTCACGGAATTATCGTTGGTTACGCTTCGCAATTATTGTTCAGCGCTCAAGCTCTGCGCTTTTCGTTTTAACACGTGTATAAACGACCAGCGACCGTTTTCTTTTTTCGCGCGCTCACGAGTAACATAAAAATTCTTAATTCCGAATTAAAAGTGTGAATATTTTATGTAGCTGAGGATATTATTCGGGAAGGTTATTTCACATGTATGAAAGTTTAAATTATGCAAGTATTATCATATCCCGCGTCGCATAAGAATTTTAAATCCATTTCGTCTCCGTTCCGCCCCGTCTACCCGTTCACCTGGCATCGATGCAAATGTGCAACAGCGAAGCGACGCAATCGGTATCGTCTACTTTCGATGCCATTCTTTATCGAAGCATGACCGATAACGGAAGTGCGGGTGGGGAATGCTTATCGAAGGTAACGAACAGACAGAGATATTACCGGGTAAATTATGGCACGGAGAACGATGATGCACCGGGGGGGTCGCGACGCGAGAACAATAGGCGTCGCGGAATTACGCGTTCCACCAAATATTTCGCACGTGCGCCCTCGCATCGTTCGCGTGTGTAACTCGACGAGCCAAGATGAAATCGCTTACCCTCGGTTCATCCCTCAGCGTCTTATGATGTGACTCGCTGCTTGACAAGGACCTCTTGTGGAGTCGTTTGTCAGCGAACAGGTAGTATTCCTTCAGGGACCCAATCTGGAAACAAACAGAACCAACGTCGTTATTAAGCGTAATTGCACATTTGGACCGAGTCAAAGTTCGAGGTGTACGTCGTCGCAGTGAACTCGAAAATCAGTAGTTTCGCCAGGAAATGATCCACGCGCTGGAGATCTCGAAACGTGACGAAAATTAGTCCACGGTCGCTCGATGGCACCGCGACAGAGAGAGCGCGCGGTGCGTAAGCTTCGCAGTGTCATGCGTCACGGTTAAATTTGTACCATGGACTCTGCTCGTATCTGCGGCTTCCCGCTTCCCGTTGTTCGTCGTGTATCATCGCACGCGTATGCGCGTGTCCGTGCACGCGTCTACGACGAATTTACGCGCGACTCTCTTTATCCCCGTCCCTGTTCCGGTGCCAAACGAGGCTTGTAAAACGGTCCTACTTTACTGCGAGCAAACGGGATTTCCATCGATCGCGAAGACTCCGAACGATGCGATCCATCGGCAGGGCGCGTACGGAACAGCTCAGAGGCCGAGCGATCGACGAATATCCGAAGGGAACTAGTTTGCCAGTAGTACGAGTAAACGAAATGTCAGACGCGGCTTACACTACGTATTCGATGTTAGTACGACTCGACGAGAAGTATAACGTGCATATATTTTTCTGTCTTAACGTTTTGGATTAATTTTTAAGCACTCGTCGCCCTTACTAATGGATCTTAATGGTGCGTTCGGGGAACTGCGGGATTTATTTATAAAACGAAAACTACGCTAGGGAAAAGGAAGGTAAATGGTTTGAAAGGTATTATTCGTTCTCCCTCCACCGGTTAGATATTATTGACCACTATTATCTTGGAACGAAAGACAACAATGAAAATGTCCTGCGCCAACATTGATATATCCGAACGAGTGTCTATCCTGGCTGGAGTGCCGGAAGGACAATTCCTTTCTTAAGTTCCAAGTTCGAGTGCCTCTATCGAACGGGCACTACCATATTTGCTCGAACGATAACGTTCCGTTCGCGTATCGGGATTCGCTGAAAAGTCGTTCGATGTCTGGTCCGACCGTCGACTGCGGCCATCAGTAAAAAATATTAAACATTCTCGTCGAATCTCTTTCCGTTCGCAACGATTTCCATGACCGATAATTTGATGGAAACGGAACGTAGCTAACGGCCGCTCAACCGTGTTCCCCTCGTACACGGATTTTTTATGATCAAGCAATTTTTCGTTAGCGATGAAAACGTTGATTGGTTCAAAAGTTTGATTAAAAATTTGCCAACTCGTGGCGAACAACTCGTGCAACGAGTATCGACGTTGTATTACCGTGATCTCGCAGCTTCGCAACAATTTTTATTTCTGTCCTCGCCACGTGAAAATATGAACCAGTGTCCTTTGCAGGGAGCAACACTGCGTGGCGTTTTCGGGGATGGTTCGAAATCGAAAAAGCAGAACTGTCAGCCTGCCGGGAGTCAGAAAAGAAATGTGACAGTATTGGCATCTATCAAAGGCTCTCCAGATAGTTCGCGTGCCGTTCTCTCCGTTTCTTCTCCACGCGTTTCCAACCGGGCCGTTCCTCTCTTCCCTGAACCGACTCCGCAGACAGACTAGGTCGCCCACCGGTGTTCGAAGAATTCTCTACTGGTCCACTAGTTTCGCGGCGATGTCGCGAACGGTTTTTCGGCGAGGCCAGCGAGATCCGATCGATTCTCGCTGACCGGTGGGACCCGGGAATAAAAACGGACGAGAGCGAACGAAGGACCAACGGCGCCGAGAGTAGTCGTCGTTGGCTTGATTTCCCAACGTGCACGGAAATCCATTTCACGAGCGAGCAGAGAAGCGGCTTTGAGAAACGCCGATATTGTTTTCTCTCCGGGGTCCGTCGCGGTGATTTAAGGTGATTCGCTACTGGGTTTTCGTCGAACGTCCAGGGTTTCGCCTCTCCTCCCTCTGCCGGCGCTTTTGAACCTGCGTCGATCGCCACGTCTATCCGAGTTTCCTGCGATCTCGCAATCGCGACCGAAAACGCGTCGGCGATCCACCGAAACCGGAAAACGGAGCGGACGGGATTTTCCTAGAGAGGACCATTATTTCGATGGACGCGGAACACTACGACCAGGATAAAACCGGTCGACGTACGATAGATGCATATCTATGCGTAGGTGGGACGCGGAAAGAAGAAGCGACCGCGTGTAAGAGGAGCGAAGGTAGATAACGGGGCTGTTACCGCAGCAGCTACAGGGAAGCCACTAAATCAAACCGAGCCAAGAATGCCTTACGATAACCTCCGCATACCGTGGGTCATCGATCCGTTGCGTCGGTTCGTAGCGGCTATTCCATGACGTTGAAACGCTTTGCCGGTCTTATCGTCCGTGGACACCGGAGAATTAAGGTAACGCGAGAAGTTTAAGGGCTGCGGCTACGAGGAATTTACGTTCAACGAACGTAGACTCGAGCTCGCTATCCGATGAGATGTCGTCGTCGCGCGGTCTCCACCGGGTCTCGCGAACGTGCTACCCGACAAAATGGCTCGTCGGAATTTTTTACCCGTTTGACGGTTTCGTGGCCAATATAAATATGACGTTTCGCATGGAACGCGGATCGACGAGTTCGTCACTGCGGAACCGCGAGAGCTCTGCGTTCTCGTGATCGTCGTGCTCCCGATTCCGAACACGTACTCGCGATATCATAAGTTCACCCTTCGGCAAGCCCGGATATACGCGTGGCCGGCGTATACTGAACAACCCTTCTGCTATTCACCCTCGATACATCGAGGATCGAGACCGACTCGAACACCGCACCATTGTTCAAATATTTTTCCTCGAAACAAAAGCTCGGCAGCGCACAGTGGTTTCTCCTTATGCGAAATTCACGCGTCACTTATTTTATCCACGGCGCCGATTACAGGGAACAGGGAACGGGTGGAAATTAGAATCCGACCGATTGGCAGTCGTTCGATTCGAAAAGGGAAAGCGGTAATTGGATTGCGAATGCTAGAGGCGACGAGCGACGTTAACTGGCCATTTCGGATCCCGTTGCGTCATTGTCGAGACGGTGTTCAGCGATGGATTCAGTTTTGTCGATACGAGATCTCGTGGCTTCGACCGCGGCCGGTGTTCGGTAGAAGTAAAAATATATCGGCGGTGTACGCGTACGCGCGGCGTATCGGTCGCGGTGATCATCGTTTTAAATGGACGGTCGGTCGGCGAACGGTGCTCGATGCGCTTTTCAAATCATTTCTACGGACCGCGACCGCATCGCGTGGGATCGAGCGTGGTTCCGTGTTTTTAGTTCGCTTTTAATTCCTACGCTCGTTTTTCCCCCAGGCATTCATTTTTTTTGAAGCAGCGGTTTCTAGTTTCATTTTCTCGTTGGGTACTCGTTCTTCCGTTTGCGACCACCAATATTGATTCCGATCGATGCGCATTTTTGGCTTTTCAAAGCCGGGATGTATTTAATTGCTCAGACCGAGATTCTCGCATGGATTTTAAACCGATGGTCGGTCGATCGGTCGGGAATCGGGCTATACTCGTGGAGCATCCCGCGATGGGTTCGACTAATTTCAAAAGGAACGACGCGGTAAATTTATCAACGAATATACGCGACGCACGTTCGGGAAAATTTCGTTCGCCATGGAACGGAATTTTATTTATCGTGTCGGTGATTCTATGTTATTTTCTTCGGGACAATCGCGTCGCGTCGGTTAAGAGTTTGGCGCTTCGCGGACCGTCGAATCGAAGTTGACACGGGTTCGCTCCCATAGGATTATGGCTGAACGAAAATTTGATACGCGAAAGACGGCTGTAACGCGAGTCGTTCCTACAGCGAATTTCATCTCGCGACGTGCCCTAAAGCGCCATCAAGAATTAACCTGACCCAGGAGCTACGTACACGTGTGCAGTGACAGTCGGCGAGAGGCTAACTAGGAAGAGCGTTGTCGTTTCATGTGAGGGAAACGGTGTCCGTTTAGTTTCCACGATATTTTTCATTCCACGAAAGGCTCGAAAATGCATTTCGCGTTGCTTTAAAAATCCATTATATACGGCGCACAGATTCTTCTAAAGTGCTTCTATCGCGGCTATCGAGGAATCGGAAACAAAAGCTCGAATCGCGCTCTAACCTTTCAATCTGGAGTTCTATCGACGGGATCCGGATCGTTAAAGCGAACGAGAACGAGATATCCACTGGTAATAACGTACCTACACCGGGATAAAACGTAAGAAAAATTCATCGTCTTACGTCCATTTGCGATTTGTTCGGGTTCGATATCGAGTTCTAAATAAGAACGAGCTGAAACGATTCCATGAAAAGGATAAGATAAATTTAAACGGAACGTAAATGAAAGAATCTGTAACAAAAGCGTTGCGAAATGGATCGGCCCGTGGCATGAGATCTCGAAGGGAAATTAACTGAAAGGAATGGCAGATTTTTTATACGTTGAAGACGTAAGATAAAGAATTTGGTGCGAAGGGAAAATGTTGCGTCGTCGAGTAGACGTCGTGGAGTCCGAATCGAAGTCGAGCTCTGTTTCGAATCCACAACCACGCGCAGAGACCGGATGAGGAGCAGCCGCGGCGAAGGAAAGAAGGAAGAAGGGGAGAAGAGAACGGAGGAAATTGCGGTTCGGGAATCGGAGCTGTTACGCGAGATTTCGTGCTACTTTCGCGGCTACGCTCTCGGCTGTTTAACGCGATGTTACCGAGTTGCCGAGGGAATCGGTGAAATCGCAGCCAGTCAACGATATTCTTTCTCGCCTTTCTCCGTTGGCTGCCGCCTCTCTATCTCCCCGACCGGGATAATTTCTTTTGATCCCGTATGCAAAATCCAGACCTCTTCTCCTCTTTTGGCGAACCGTGAAATCATCCAGACGGGTACGTGCTCTCACAGAATGGAGTCGTTCGCACGAACAGACGAGACGACGTCGTCGACGACGCCGCTGCCGTTCTCCGCGAGGGCGAATGCGGGAAATGATCGAACGCTTTTCGATGCGCTACAAATTTTCTACCCTGTTTCAATCGTATCGGGCCATCGAGCCTT